AATGAAATTGTCGTCTGTAGTTGTCTGTCGGCATTGCAGCACACGTCTTGATTTTTTAATGTTTCTGCTTAATGGACATGGATGATCTAGTGGATGTATATTATGTTTCATAGAACGAGCACGTGTTCCGGAAAAATCAACATTTTGCAGACGACAGCTTTCAAAATATATGAGAAACAATGTAAATAAACAGTATTGAGAAATATCGTAATCGTGTTTCGAAGTCGGCTATGCTACCATGATTTAAGTTATTCATTGCAAATATTGTTGTTTTTTTGTTGTTGTTTTTATTGTACATGTTAATAATAATAAATAAAACATAATAGATTACTTTAAACAATTTGTTCTCAAACCTTTATTGCATCGCATGGAAATAATCAGTTGAGTTAGTTAAGACATGTTTATTGGGGGCGTCCGTGGCCGAGTGGTTAAGGTCGTTGACTTCAAACCACTTGCCCCTCACCGCTGTGGGTTCGAATCCCGACAAGGACTTTGGATTCTTTCATGTGAGGAAGCCAATCAGCTAGCTGACGGAACGTCGGTGGTTCTACCCAAGTGCTCGTTCGTGCTTGAAATAATGCACGAAAGGTGTCCTGAGGTCTTCCTCCACCAGTAAAGCTGGAACGTCGCCAAATGATCTATACTGTGTCGGTGTGACATAAAACCCATATGAAATAAAATGAAATAATTGAATTTCGTTCTAGTTAACCCTCAACGTGCTGGTACGGAAACGTATTAGCCTTTGCCACCTGCATAATTATAGCCAGGCCAGGCTGAATATCTATCTGTTCAGTATGACAAAGCTCTATCTGTTTTGTTGGCAATCTTTCAAGTTACATCTTGGTATCCCTTAAATTGATAATATGTAAAACCGACAGGTCTTTTTATTAAATTCTGCAGAATAAGGGTTATTGAAAAATTAAAACAGACCTATGCTCTTAATGGCTTAATATGTCGTTACGTTACATTAATGACTAAATAATTGACGTCATTTGTCGAATTGTTTTTAAACAAACCTATGATATTAATGAACGAAATACTCTGAAGGATTAAATATTTCGTGATGTTACATTGGTATTTAAATAATTGACGGCATTTGTTTATTTTTTATCATTTTATTTTAATATATTTGAAGTGTTTATTTTAGTTAATTTTTTTCTTTTTTGGGGGGTGGGTGGGGGTAAGAGTTTTTAGTTTTTAACCAAATACTTTACAGCATGTTAAAATACGGAACTTTCAGTGAATACAATCTACATGTATATTCCTTTGTAAAGTGCGACATGAAAAATATTTTTAACTTCTCAGTCCATAATGAGTTATATTCCCTTTTCTACACAAACTAAATATCTATCCTTAGATAAAAGAGTATTTATTGTACTGTATTTGACATGTCATTCTCATTTAGAAGCAAATCAGTAAGTGTTTCTGGCACACCAATTAAATTACCATAAATTTTATCGGGATATATATTTATATATCTACATAAGCAGGTGTGATCTTTAATGACGCAATGACTCTCATGTTTCCTAATAAATGTACATATAATCTGCTTTTTAGTGACGTCTATTAATTTCTCACTTCCCGTCGGAGCGTGCTCGTTGCTGAGAAGGCACAGGGCATCGACAGAAGATTTGAAGACATTGGACAGTGCAAAAGATCGGAACTTTTACTGCGGACCAGCTGCCGATGTCCTGACTAATGCCGAGAGGGAGTGGTCCTACAAAGTAGACTTTGGGTCGACGAGGATGGTGTGCTAGGGTGCATGAGCCCCTAGAATGGATAGACGGATTGAACGGCAGGCCTTTTGCTGGCACCAATTGCCCTTTTAAAGGCTACCTCCTTTCATTATTGTCTCATGTTACTGTACATTTAGGTTCTCATTGACCGCCTCACAATGTTCTACTTTTGGCTCAAATTTATATCTTTGGCTAATACTCCGTGAATTGCATGGAGATAAATTATCACTACTTTGTGCTTCAAAATTAACTCTTTAAGGGTATTACTGGTGAAATCTTCGGGGTACGTACTCGACAGCGATAGCCGCGTTTGTGCCTTATCGGGCGGATGGACCCTCATTAAGCACAGACTACATGCATACACAGACGTCTATAAACATGCATCAATAGAAACCTGCCTGGGTCAGATGAAGATTAAAGCGTGCTTCAAGTCTTCCGCCATGTCAAAAGTACGTTTACGCAATCCCCATAACAGTGCTTGAATACTTTTGTCAATTTATTTTGAGAAGGTGTGTCGGTGCATGACATTTCTATTTTAAGACATAATTGTCTAGACAAGAAAAGAAACGTTCAATCCTACAGGGTGGGTGATCACGTGATATTTTGTTCTGATGACCGCTATAGCCCGCGCTCATGACTTATTTGTTATTAGGTTATCTTTCATTTTATCTTTCAATATTTGAAAAATAAACGTATACCATGTTGCAACCAAATATTTGCCGATTCTGATGGTACATGTTTTCAAATGTAGCTGTTGAACTTTTTAACGATATGTTTTCAGAAAATTATGATACAATGATACCACATAATTATGTTTATGAAACTATTACTGCATAAAAACATTTCTGTAAGCATAATAGGAAAATTCAAAGCGAAACAATGGAAAGTTATGTAGCATTGAATCGGAAATATTTGTCCGGAACATGAACTATGATAATCATTCAAATATTTAAAGATACAACTAAAACTTGGCAAAAATAAATCATTTTAAATAAGGGGGTCGGCCTTAAAACAATCGTGAACATAGGACATGTGATCACCCATCCTAATCCAATCCTAGTAAGTATTTAACACATTTAATTCTTTTCTAGCCTTTAATCCTAGTCTGTCAATTTGACGTTTTCGCGTCATCGCAAAATAGCTAGAAATAGCGATTTGTAAGACCAGTATTAATTATACAATGTTATATTCTTAGAAGGTAGTAATGGGGTTCTTGTTAAGAGTAGTTTTATCACATTTTTTTCTTTGTTTTTTTCTCTAGCCTGATAAACAAGATCATGAAGGAAAGGCGGCGTGCAATGAACGCAGCCCCACCCGACCCAGCAACAAAAGCCAGTGGCAAGGAGCCAAGGAGGACCCCAAACAAAAACAGGGAAGGGCACAAGGCAAAATTTCTTTAGAGTCCATTTTAAACTTAAAGGTAATCAACTCAGGTACATGGCATAAAGGGACTGGGAATATTATTTCGAGATTTGCCATCAATAACTTATGTGCATAATTCAGATCATTTCCTTATTCAGTTTCCTCAAAATTAGTATTCTTATCGTGCAAAATAAACTAAAATTGAAATGCGTTACACCGCTTTTGAATCAAATTGTGCTAAAAACATGTGCAAACATTGATTTTCAATTTAACTCTTAATATTTCTTTATTATCTTTGGCAGAATTATTTTCCCATTTAAAGTTTATCACTTAATCAATGCAGAATTTTAAAAATTCTTTGTGTTATGGTTTTTATCTCCTTTACGTAGTTCCATTTTGCGACTTTGAAACTACAAAGGAAATTGAGCTACCTATGGTACAGAGCCTGGCCAGACTACACTGATGTGCAGGCTTGTCTGGGTTTTTACTGGTGGTAAAGCCTATCCACCTTTGGTCTAAGTAAGTTATGGATTAAAAGTGGTAATTTTATTTAATTTTTATTGATATATTACATATTTATCATAACAATTATTTGATTTACTCCTCAAAATATATTCCGGAAGTCTTCTATACAAATGGAATCATAATGAAAAAAGAAGAATACATGTGTCTATATAAAACCGACCAAGTAATTCAAATGTCACATCAACTCAATTATGTGTGTGATTATAAAGGACTGAGAAATTTTAACAAAAAATATCTCCGACAAAAACGCGTGTTTGCACTGTCATAAGATCAGAGTATGACAGCTTGCTGCACGAAAACTAATTTGCTCTGCAAATAAAATCGTCTTCCTAGAACGCACATCACGTGAAACTGTAATTTCCATTCAAGTTTAAATGTAATAATGCATTGTTTGAGCACGCAAGTCCTACAAAAACATCAATACTGTGTTAAGCGTATTGAAGAAAATCGGTGATTTAATAGTGCATTGATAATTAACCCTTAACCGGTTTATTCCATTATATAGATAAGCCAATATTTTAATGGAGCAGTCCATTCAAATGAAAAGGGGATTTTAAAGTCAAAATATGAAAGTGGAGAACTCAACAGTTTATAAAGTTTGGGCGTTCTTCAAGGATTCTGTTTTTCTCTATTTCAATTGTACATGCTAGGGTCTTTACTTGAGGCAAAGGCTTATCACTTTTAGTTCCAGTATAGGTATAATAGTAAAATGCATTGCTTAGTGAATGGAGGCGATTAATGCCTGATTACGTAATAAGTCGTAGCCCAAATGAATTAATGCATTATTATATTATAATTAAAGAAAAACATGTTCATAGCGTCTAAATGTTTGACTTAAATTAAATCTATACGTGTAATACAGTATACGAATAAACGAAGGAAATGTGTTGTTGCTGGTACAAAATGAAAAAAGGTTTTCTTTAATAAATGACATGAATGAGTTAGTAACTGAATGGTTCAAACTAGACTTAAGGTTTTATCTAAAAGCAAATAACTATGTCTGAACAAGATCTTGTATAACATCTTAAATTATACAGGCAGGAGAAATTCACCCGCTTCGATATTAAAGTAAAACTGTCAGATTTTATGTCTGTCGGTGTATGCCTGGTTATTTATATGTTTTAAATTTGAACAATCAAGGTCGAGTAGTAAATTTATATACATGTATTTCATTTTATATATACCTTGCCAGTGTCACAAATTTAGACAGGGTGTAAAAGGACATTTTTTCCAATAGTCCGTATATCTACGCACGTTACATTCATGTATTGCGTCTACACAATCTTGCCAATAATAAATGTTGAAAAAGCATACGATTATTGCATTAAAATGTTTAGGCAATGAAGAACACATTCTTAAGTTGAAAAAGTAACTTACCTTGAAAGTCTTTCCTTGCAGCACTGATGCAAGATACAATATTTGATATATGACCAAGGACGGTTGCAAACAGAAGTAATCCGAACATCATTTCAAATATTTCGAATGCGTAATCTCCATTTGTTAGAGGCATTGGAAGATTGCCAACTGTCGTTAACGTCAACGTACTCCAATATAACGCGTGTAGATACTGACGCATGACGTCACCATTGTCCTTGGGAAAATTCCAAGTATCAGAGTGGTGTTCAATTCTCGTGGCAACTATGTAGTATAAACACGCGTTCCAGTGGAACAATGCTAACAAATAGTGCATCAATGTTGTAGTTCGTATAACATTTGGATAATTTGTATGCCTTTCTGTCCGATCCAGGAACGTCCAAAACCTGTACACTTTCACTAATCGAAAACAACGTAAAATTGAGCAAAATCCAATGGACAAATACAAAAAATCTAACGGCAGTAAACATAGACAATCTATATAGAAATTTGTTGTGTTCATATAATGTATACGTAATTTGGTCGAGTCAGTTTGTAACACTCCATCTTCCAAATACCCAGTTCTAAAATGGAATGCTATATCCAAAACATAAATAAAATCGGCTAGGTAGTCCATGCCAAACCATGCTGACATGTTAGATTCATTGATCTCTTGGAAAGCAAATCGGTAAATGATTACCCAGAAGTTGTAAATAAACGCTACGCTAACAATGGATGACCACCAATAGCTCAGCCGACCCGAGGGGTCAAACACAAAGGTCCAGTTGCATCCTTCTTTCTCTGAAACTTGTGTGTTTGTCTCAAATCTGTTATCTGAACGAATACTTTTCTTACCGAATCGAGTTTGGATATCTTTTCTTCTTTGTCTCCTTACTCCTCGTGATGTCACTGTGTCATTTGATCGAACTTTTTTTATTAAGTTAAAGTCATCACGTGACGGCTTTCGAGTCGTTCGTACCCGAACCAACTCGAATATACTTTGTCTCGATGTTGTTCGTGACCTGTTAGATTTGGTGTCAGTTATTTTACTATTTACAGGCGAAGAAAGCTCTGTTCCCGAGCTAAGTCTTTCGCCTATGAGTTTGGTTTTGTCATTCGGCGATGACATAATACTGATTGCTGAGCCCGGGAGGAGTTTAGGTCCGTTGATTTCAATATCTGTTTTCTCGCTGTCCGGGTCGTGATTCTCGTGCATGTCGTCGTCGTTTTCCGACTGGTCGTCCTCAGTTTTGCTGAGGAGACTGAGGCTTTGGTCGCCATCTTGTCTATCGTCAATGATTGATATTTCCTCCAACTCATCTTCGTCCGTCTGTTCGTCTTTAGCACAAGGGGTGTATTTGATTGAAAGACTTGAATCAGTCACTCGATTAACGCTAATGCTACTTGTCATACTGCATCGCACGTGCACTGACCTAATTTCTCGTTAATTAAGATGACAAAAAAAAATTATTTCAATAACTCACATTATATTAAAGAATATCTCCAAACGTGTGCTTTTTTCACTCCTTTATATCACTTAATTTTCACTCCTCTAAACATCGGAACATTTTCCAATAGCAGTAATACTCTACAGGCATCTTCAATATTTTCTCGTGCTTATTTTTAAACTTTCCATTTTTCAGAGAAAATTCGTAGACATATCAAATCAAACAATTTGCACTAAAAACACTTCAATCACTGTTAAATGATGTGAGTAATATTACATATTCCGTATGTATTCCGTAAATATTCTGTATTTATTCTGTATTTATTTTCTAACCACTATTCAGAACACTTGTATCTTATCTATTTCCGATTGATCACATTCTATCAAGTCATATCAATAACACTGTTTACATTAACCATTCTGTCAGACCCTTCTGCTTACTGACGTGCCAATTTTTCCGGCAGAAATTCCGTTTTTTATCTTGTTACTATACGCAGCAATCTGTTCGCACAGTTGACAGTAATTTACTTTGAATCGTCAGCTATACGATTGACTTTATCCAGTTTCACGGTTTGTAGAACAGAGCGCGCGAAAATTTCCAGTAATCAGTTTTAGCAGACGTACAACTATTGTCTGTTGCTAACAAAATAATTTGTGTTTTCAATTTCGAAGAGCATTTTGTCTTTCCGCTTAACTACATGCAAGGCATGAGCACAGAAATTAGAATTTGTTCTTGTTGGATTTTTTTTTTATCTTTTTTCAGGAAATATATTCGTCAAGACCAGATGGAGGAACTTGAAGAGAAAGAGTGTATCCAAGATATAATGTGCAAAAATTTCTGTCGTAAACAGTGACCAAGTAATGGAATTTTCTATCGTTTCACTTCTAAGACAGTAAGACTTGCTATCCTATACGAGTCACGTAGATAGCGTGCTGGTGTTAAAATTATTTGTTTGTAAAGAGGAAAAGAATGTCACGCAATCCGTCAGAAGATTCAAGCCCGCCAGAAAAGGAGCTGCCTGATCCCTAAGGAGGTCTTCATGTACGGGGCTGCATGACTACAGTCTGAAAATAAAGGAAAATGAAATAGATAAACATAACATTGAAAATAAAATTAATATTAAAATTTCGTGGTTTTTTTTTTCCTAGTTTGAAAGTAAAAAATACGTAAGTACGCGGGAATGACATACATATTATCACATATGCTTTTCCCTATAAAATAATTCAAAAACTGTCAACACAAAACATACATGTATAACATTTTGTAATAGATTCAACGTCATCATGATCATTAAAATTCATCTGACCTCACGTAAACAGAATTATTCTCAGAATAATGAACTCTTAATCACTTTAATGATTTCTATGTTATTCTAATCAAAGATTGCACTTCATTATGTTCGATAATAAGACGCACACGATATTCTGTCACGTGATAAGCATACGCATATATTGATATTGACTCCTGACAGCCAACACAATGTCATTTTCACACAAAGCTTCCTATAATTGCATTTCGAACACTAATCAGTTATTTGTTGCCACAAAATAATGTTTCATCTGGTGTTGTGCAGACGACATTATATCACCACTAAAAGTAATAAAAAACACACACAAATTGTGACCAATTTTTTCGAATGCCAAAAATAAATATATTCCACTAAGCCTCTATCACATGTAATTCTGACAGAGAGCGACTTTTTACGCAACACCGTTTGAAATCTAATTTGCGCGCCTACAGTCAGGAAACTACGTGCGTAATTCTGGTACAGATCTGGAGTAAATAAAACAATTAAATCCATACAATAAAACCAAGATTGTATGACAAGTTCCCAGAAGGATTTGACATTGTCAATAATCAACAAAGCTTAGAAATCAACTAATGGGACAGATGGGAAATATATTTCACAAAGACATCAACGGTTTATGACAGAATTTAAAAGCACGTTTCAAAGTAAATTGTACCGCATTAACAGTGAGATTGCAACACAGAATTACGTAACAAAATTATTGTTACGGATCTGAAACAGTTTCAGCAAAACCTTTAATTGAATTTAATAGCCAGCTCAAAAAGTAATGTACTAACGCTTTATATGCGTTTATTTATCTCCAATAACATAGTTGAAACAGAAATAGAATCAAACGTTTTCTTCAATCAGTAACATCTGAACAAAACACTAATGAAATTTGCAGGTGAAAATGAAATTGCCATTTAAACGTCTACTGAATTCATTAAAAGCAATGTTTAATATAATTTGATTTTTGGAGGTACTTTGCTACGGTAACCTCAGTATTTTAATTTACTTCAGTATATTCATTTTATCATATGTTCACAACGCTTTAAATTAGCAAGGGTATTTTAGATTTTTAGAATTTTACATGTAAATAGTAAGTCAACCTTTAGTCTCTTGTAAATCATATAGATTGACAATGTGCATTTATATTGTATTTTATATGTATTTTAACTGTGTACATTGATGAGACTGTAATAAACTAATAAATTAATATAAACTTATTTGATAAATTTTCCATTTTTTCATTTATCAAGTATTTTTGGTTTCATTAATTTATCCTATGTCCCACTTTAAAAGGTCACGTGACATGTTTAACCTATATCATAGTACATGTATAGTAATAGTAATACCTTATATTATAATAATAAGCTAATGTTTATTTAGTTCTATGAAATGATGCGCACAAAAAAACACACATTCGACCTAGCAGTCTCATGCACGTGCAGCATAAAAAATATCATACAGCTTCTCAAGGAATTGCATGACTTAATTCTACATCAAACTAAATCAAATTTCCTGTGAAGCATCATTTTTGAATTTTATTTATTAAGTCACGCCACAGACGTTCCAACATGAGTAAGAACAAACAAACAAAACAAATCCTCCAAATTTTAAAGTACATTTCAAAAGAAATTGAAACATGTTTTAATTATGCCTACAAATAAAGTTTGTAATTGATTTCATTTCAATAATGTCGGGAATTATTCGGAAGTAAAGACATTTGTCCCAAGTTTTATGCAAATAAGCCTGCTAAAGACAAAGCAAAAATAACACGCCCGTTTAACTCACAACGAGTGAAAAATGTCCATCGGTTAAAATGTTGTGAGCAACTTCCGTTCCTCGTTGTGAGCACCCATCTTTGACGTATGACACGATAAACAAGGTGAGTTTTTCATAATTTTTGAAGATTACAGACATTTATGTAAAAATATCGAAATGCAGTTAGCTAGCGATGTGTTTTCTGAGTATGCACATGTAAAGATATTGCCTGTTGGTGGACAATTTGATGGAAATACCGTGCGACGCAGTCACTCGGGGTAGCAGGAAAACTGGAGACAACTTCTCTTTGGACCTAATTTTAACATTGAAAACGTCGATTCTGGTGAAGTTTTGTGCATTCTAACCTAAAACAGATGCCCACAAGTCTTCAGCGTAAATAATTATCTGAAAGTCTTCATAGAAACGAAGATATACCCTTTTTTGCTTTAATCCTCGTTGTGAGCACCATAACCTCGTTGTGAGCAAGACAAGCGCAGTGCGTGTATGGTTTTAATATGTAATTCACATGGTGAAAATATAATTTTTAATCTACCACAGCAATAAAAACGTTTTTGCACAGCAGCATTTCTTTGCAAGACGTTGTGCATACCCCAAAGGGAGGCATGTTAGTTTTGTCAGTCCGTCAATCTGTCCGAAAACTTTAACATTGGCCATAACTTCCTTATAAGAAAACGGATTTGATTTATATTTGAACACAACATCCCTTAGCACAACACCTTCCTACAGACCTGTATTTTTTTACCTTGGCCCCTGAATGGCCTTTACCTTGAAGGGCAAATTGTCCAAAAACATTTAAGATTGGCCATAATGTCCTGGCATAATGTTTAGGCACAACACATCTTTGGACAAGGCCTTTCAACTATCCTATATTATTTTGACCGTGACCGCTGAATAACCTTCACCTTGAAGGTCAAATTGTCCAAAATTTTAAAAATTGGTCATAACTTCCTTATTAGCATACGGATTCTACTTATATTTTGAAACAACACCCCTTTAGGCAAGACCTTCAAACTGATCTGTATTTTTTACATTTGAACACTAACATCCAAAAAATTTTCATTGTGTTGATAACTTCTTATATAAGTAAAATTAATTTACATACATCAAATTTGACCACGAATGCCATATTTCCACAAGACCTTCCAAACTGACCGATATTTTTTCACCTTTGAACCTCTAATTGCGCCTTACATTGAAACTACTAATTTGGTCCAAAAAAAAAATTTAACCCTATCAATAACCAAAATTATGAAAGTTCAAAAGCACCAATTCAACATTGTCAACTAATGTGATAGTTTTTTTTAAACATAACGTTTGGACAGTTTCATTTAAGTAGTACGCAACAGGGATTTGAAATTCGTAAAAATATTCTACGATCCCGTAATGTTTCAGCGACCAATTTGAATTTATGCCAAGCTCAAAAAGTAATTTACCTTTAACTGATTAGTTCTTCTGTTAATCTGATGACTTGTGAATATGAAGAATAATTTTCAAAAAAAGGAAAAAGAAGAACTATTGCAAAAAAAACTATTGTACAAAAAAGTTTTGATTGCTTTTGGTACATTGAAAATTGTATTCTTTCCATTTGAATTACATATTAAAACCAGACAAGCACTGCGCTTGTCTTGCTCACAACGAGGTTATGGTGCTCACAACGAGGATTAAAGCAAAAAAGGGTATATCTTCGTTTCTATGAAGACTTTCGGATAATAATTTTCGCTGAAGACTTGTGGGCATCAGTTTTAGGTTAGAATGCACAAAACTTCACCAGAATCGACGTTTTCAATGTTAAATTAGGTCCAAAGAGAAGTTGTCTCCAGTTTTCCTGCTACCCCGAGTGACTGCGTCGCACGGTATTTCCATCAAATTGTCCACCAACAGGCAATATCTTTACATGTGCATACTCAGAAAACACATCGCTAGCTAACTGCATTTCGATATTTTTACATAAATGTCTGTAAATCTTCAAAAATTATGAAAAACTCACCTTGTTTATCGTGTCACACGTCAAAGATGGGGTGCTCACAACGAGGAACGGAAGTTGCTCACAACATTTTAACCGATGGACATTTTTCACTCGTTGTGAGTTAAAACTGGCGTGAAAAAATAAGAAAATCATTTCCCATTAAAATACGTTTGTTCGTGAACAAATAGTTAAATATTCTAGTATTCGTGGTAGAGCTTGTTCCATTCGAAAAAAAGTTATATAAATAAATATATCAAACATTGCCTTCAAAATGTTTATATTTTTATTATTTATTTGTTTGTTTGCTTGTTTGTTTGTTTGTTTGTGTGTTTGTTGTTGTTGTTTTTGGAGGATGATTTATATATACTAAACGGAACGTGTCGTTTAAACGGAAATAATGACTTTGACAACATTATGATAATTTTTCAATCAATACATATACAATGCACAATACTGCATAGTTCAGAATAATATACATAATAAATGGATCAACACACATGCATGTTACGGAGAATTTCTAATAATTAACCATTCTTATTATTTTTAATATATTCATTAACGTTTAAAGTCATCATTTCGAAAACTTAGATGATATCTTTTCGACACCTTAGTGCAGTGACTGGTTAGCTCCTATTAAATTTAGAAGGACTGTACCTAGTTACTGCAATAAGGTGGCGTTTTCTTTTCATGATTCCAAAGAAAATTCTTCATAGAGAGATCCATGCTGTTCGCTATCAGTTTCTCTTCTGGTTATAGGGTTTGTAAGCGAACAGCATGGATCTTTATTAGACTGCGCGGATGTGCAGGCTGGTCTGGATCCATGCTGGTCGCAAACCCATTATGTTGGTTTTGTCATGGCGCGGCTCATATTATATTTTCTACTATGATCGAATACTCAAGCGATCTCTCTATGAAGAAGTCCATAACCATTGTATATATATGTATATCATGGGACAAAAACATAAACAATTGTAACAAAACATTTACACACATAAAAGAGATAAAGTATACAGGCCCGTCATTGT